GGAGTTGTCAAAGTTTGTGCTTGGACCTCTGTATCCTTAGCACGAATCAATATCTAATTCATTACGTTTGCGAGTGCGAAATGGCAAAGTCAAATTTTGTATCGAAACTTGAACAGCAGCACCATAATGGACGTAACGAGAACTAAAAATCAGTATACATTTGACAATGACATTTCGAACCAGCAAACGTTATAAATTACTCCTAACCTATGTTAACTCTCCCTTTATTATCCTACTTTGTGAATATATATCCAAAAATAATATACGCTTGTAATTGTTTGTCTCTAGACTAACCAACTAACATTACTGACTTTATTTTTGTGTTTGTCTCTACCTTTCAGATAAGACAAAAGATATCCAATTACAAATATTCAAGTACATTGTTTACTCCTTTCACATAGTGTGCTTTCACAACATACTTAAAAAAAAAGCAAAGTCAATTCCTACTGAACAACCAAGCTGATTCACTCGAGTCTGGCGAAATCCACAAAAGTGCACCTCCATTTTCTAAAAAGAAGAAGAAATTCGATATTTGTACGTGCTAAGGGTACTGAACTAATTTCTAACAGAGAAAAAAAGTTAAATCAATAATATAGTGTATTGATAGGGCATTGTCGAAAAGCGTTTCTGGGTCGGCAATTTGATCCAATTGACAGTGCCGAGTGTTATGACACCGGATAAGATATGCCGCTCAGGGGTTACTCTTAGGTTCCATTCCTATATATTCGAATGATCTTTCGATTATATTGGTCGAATCTTAAGCCCACTGGCACCAAAGTCTTTAAATAAAATTAAAATTAAACTAGCAAACCACTGAACCAAATGTTCACCAAAACCTGATTTTAAAAAAAGAAATGTATTTAATTAATTGAGAACTTCGGAGATTTTGTGTGGTTTCGTTTGAAATTCGTGATTTCTCGAAAACCGGCAGTGCTACGTTACTCAAATCCGGTTTGTAGTCTTATAAGATTATTCTTAACTTATTACTTAAACATTCTCTTTATCTATCTCTTACGGTTTGGCCGCTGAAACAGCACCACAGACAGACGGACGGACGGACGGACTTGCCTAATAGATAAGAGATTTCAAGTCTCATTCCATCTCTTTTGAACTTATAGTTGACAAGAATGTATTGCTTAACTAGATTGATCTTGAATCATTTGTATTAACAATCCCACTATCAACAAGTGGCTTAAGTGACCCATTTTAAGAAAATTTCGAAGTCATTGTCATTATAGAAAATATTCTCTACTTTTTTATAAGGACTGACAGAACTTGGTGTGAGCTATGGGCGAATGTTAAAAACATTGAGTTAACAAACATAGAAAGTGTCAATATAGTTGAAAAATTCATTGAATATCAGAAAAAATATCGTAATACTGATAATGTATTATTCATCAAACCTTCGATGAACAAACATAAAAAAAAATATACAGTACCTCCTTCCGATTTTGAAGACGGTTAAAAATAACTAATGCCCATCAAATAACAAATTAGAAGAAACACTATATGAAACTACATTAAGTGAGGCAACGCTTTAAATGAAATGAAATGAAAAATTCTTTAAATTCTTTAAAAAAAAAATCAAATATCTATTATATAAAATTCTCGTGTCGCGGTGTTTGTGGTTAAACTCCTCCGAAACGGCTTTCCCGATTCTCATGAAATTTTGTGTGCATATTGGGTAGGTCTGAGAATCGGACAACATCTATTTTTCATCCTCCTAAATGTTAAGGGTAATCCACTCCTAAATTTCTTTTTTCAATTTTAGATATTTTTTTAAGATACATCATACAAAAATACATACATCCCTAAATTTTCAACTTTCTACCACCAACCCCAATTTTTTTATGGCGATACGAAGTTCGCTGGGTCAGCTAGTAATATAATAAATTTTAACGCTGTTAGGTAACGCTTTCGGTCTTTGATCCCGGAAGATGTGTTTTGGAATGGTCGGTCATAAGATGATTTCCGTAACAAAAAGGTAACAATTCAGACAAGCAGCTGTATCCCACTGCATCAGATGTGAAGTTGCTGACTGAAGTTTAGCTGCTATAGATGTACAAATATTATGCTTATGATAAATAGACATGAAATGAGCAATGAGAGAAACAAGTTAACTATATTAGTCTGGGAGCAAACGTGCAATAAAGAATACGCCAATTGTAAAGGACATTGATCGTTTCTCATACATTGAATGCCCTAGAACGCACAGCAATGAGAAAATGCTAGTTGTGTTCGGAATCAGTCATAAACTCTAATTAGGCATTTGTTGAGATACGGACAACTTGACGAAACGTGGTCTACTGCCGAATGTATTAGATTTGGAGGTTATAATTATTATGCTTAATCGTAAAAGATGTACACTTCATATATTCTGAATAGATTTAGTGTTTACATCTATGTCAGCACTTAAATAATATGCATTAAATGAACATAAAATGCAATTAATAATAAAAAATAAAAAATGCTTATATTCATATTTATTTAGAGTGTTGGCAGTTGGCAGCTATGATATCTGTACCTGTTGTAATAATAGATTTCTTTTCAAATGGAATGTTCAAAGTCTTTCCATTTACCTGTTTCTATATTTTACTATCGGTAATTAGGTTATCATAGTGATTGTCATAAAAATAAACAGATATTATATGGAATGGGAGTATAAACTATCTCTACATAATTTCAAAAATAATCTTTTTATAAATATAATATAAATACTAGTGATAATCATTATTAACTAAGGTACCGAGTTCTATTCTTATGTTTTTAAATACCTATGGTCGCCTATATTGCATTTATTAAGGTAAAAAAATCTTAAAAATATAATAATATCGAAGCCAATAAACTATTAAAATAAATCGTTATTATAGACTGAAACCTATTGAATCCAGGTATCAGTTGATTTTGAATGCTGTATTTTCAATAAAAAGGAGTAAGTACCAAGATTGTTTACCAAATAGGACAAGTTAGGATGAATAGACTGTAGTATCTAGTAACAGAACTTTTATTTTTTAAATAGATTGTCCGTTTACTATGATTAAAATAATAGAAAAATAATAGTGAAAGACATTCTTTTGGACATGCTAGGGTCGATTTCGTCGATGTCCTTTCGGAGGACAAGATAATTAGGATAAATATTGTGAGTGATAGGATAGCAATCTACTGTATTGTTATGGCATAATTTGGGTACCCTAAAGAAATAAAATTAAGTTTTCAAGAACTGGGAAACAAGTCTCTTGCCAGATATTATATTGAAATCGTTACTCACAAATTACTTATTATGTAGTTTCTACACCAATACCTCGAAGTATACTGCCCGCTTCTTAATAAGATTGGCAAACGTAATAAATAAGTACACAGCTCGCCTAATGTTAACTGGCGCGTTACCACCAAATACTTTACCCTGACCCAAATCTTCCACCAAGTAGAGCTCTTAAAAGCTGAGAGTTAGCCAGCTATCTTCGCGTCTGGAGTCCACCGGCACTATTATTCTTTTCTTTCTATTATAATCAGGTGAGGTGGAGTAATTTGTTCGGACCCATATATGAAACAAGTGCGTTTCGTGCCACTTGCAGTTGTGGGTTCCTTAGTTGCCTAATGTAACGCCTAATTTTCAAACGGTAAGAAATTTTCTTTAACCAAAGCTGAACGATTATTACTCTTAATCTGACAAAACTTGTTTTTATAGCCTAGTAGACAAATGACTCTACCCCACCTGATGGTAAGTGGTGATAGAGTTCAAACGCGAAGATAGGTACAGCAGTTGTAAACTGCTACACCAACCATCCTCACCTTGCCGGCTGCCAATAATGCTTCTTCACGCCTCTCTTAAAGGACCTGTAGGAGGGACACGTGCGCTGGCAAATAATTCCACTTTTGAATAGTACGACATAGAAATGAGTCACCATATTTCTTTGTTCGTTTAGGAGTAGTGGCCACAGCAAGTGGGTGACAACGTAGGATAGCGCGCGTGGTAAACAGTTAAAGTTGCACAAAAATCATGTAGGTATAACAGAATTGTTCCTCTTTATTAGTTCTGGAAAAAAGTCCGCGACAGCATATGGCCATATTTTAAGTTTAACTCACTATTAACCTTTTTCGCGCGGGTCGTCCTGCGCACGTCTGCGGGGTCCCCGCGATACTCCGGGAGACCCCTGCCGCGGAGCACCGGCAAGGCCGGGAAGCTGCTAGTTGCGGAGACGCGGAAGAATCCCCAAAACGGGGATCCCGCGGATTCGCGCTAAGCAGCTTAGAGGGTGTTCGTAGGGTTTTTAGCGGATATTATGCCGTAAAGCGCCCGTAAGGGTTACGGGGTCCTCAGTGGGCAGCCACTGCTGGGGCTCGTAAGGCTTGCGGGAGCCAGGTGTGAGGTCCGTTCGGCGGTGTGTTAAAGACGCCGTCGTCTGTAAATAGTACTTTTTGCCTGCGTATAAAAAAAAGGGGACCTCTAGTTGTGACATGACTGTGATAGCTAGACATAGGGTATCCCGAACTTTTTTGTAGATATTGATGTCCTCTACAAAACTTTAGTACATCACTTTGCTCTATTGTCCATGACTTCCGCAGCGTACGCGATATAAAGTTATTTTTTGGTATTTTTTACACACGTTGGGTTACATTATCAAAGTCTTAATACGGAACCCTAGTTTTGAAAATACTCTTTAGCCTATGTTCATCGATAATAACGAATTCTAAATGTGAATAATTTTATGAATCGGTCCAGTAATTTCGGAGCTTATTCAACACAAACAAACAATCAAATCTTTCCTCTTTATAATATTAGTATAGAGGTATATATTTGGATTATAGATTAGCTACTCTATTTACCTTTAAAGGAGATCGCCGAAAGTTTATAAATTAATAGACACATACTTGCGTGTCTGAGTTAAATCACTATTTCTGGTTTGTGTAGTTTTATAGTTTCCCTAACTTGTTTTACCTACTTACCATCGCAGCAAAGAATTTAATTCTGAATATTAATTTACTCGTGTCGTTCACAGTGACATATGACTGACATCGCTTCAAGATGACAGATCACAGTCTGAAGCTGCCCACGCGCAATGTCCTGACCGGGGCCATAGTGAATTGGGACGACGACGAGATGGGGGTCCTCGGAGACAACCCTGAGAACCTTACGCTGTCGTGGAAGGACCTCTCCGTGTACAGGAAGAAGAAGACACAGACTAGCATATGGAGGTCGCCGGTGTATGAAGAAGTCAAGGTTCTGCACGGAGGTAAGCATTGATTGAACACTCACGCTATGACCACAACCGTGTTAGCTATAAACTCAAACTCAAATACATTTATCAATCACTAGCTGACCCGGCGAACTTCGTACCGCCTTAGCGTAGCTTTAATGCACTACTTTATTTTGTATAGCTGACCTATCTTATGTATGAGTACCTATTCAATTTTTTTATTTTTCTTTATATTTTTTTCCGTAAGAACCTTGTACAGACTATTAGAAAACTACAAAAAAAAATCAGCCAAATCGGTCCAGCCGTTTTCATGTTATGTCGTGACAACGGAAAACGGGTTTCATTTTTTATATATATAGATTTATTCAGTCTAGGCTGTCACAATCACTTTTAAAAGTCAAGTAGATACGCCATCGGTTCGCAAAACTAGCGTGGGAGAAGAACCGGCAAGAAACTCAGCAAGGGCTGTTTTCTCTCCCTGTATTATTATATACAGAGTCGTCAAGATGAAAAATGACTCCAGAGATACTACTGAAATCACCTTTCATTACATGATTTAGAATAAAGATATATAGTTACAATAAATTTTATTGTTGATATGCACATCGGTTTGAAAGGTGTCGCCCACTCAGGTCCTGGGTTTGAATCCCAGTGGGACAAATGTTTGTATGATAGGGTTAGGCTAATTGGTGTGACTGTTAAAATAAATATTTATTATGATTTTATTTATTTTTTAAGCATTTAACTGCTAGATGTTTGAATCTAAAGAAAAGTTTACTAGAGAAAAATCCACGCGGACCAGGCAGCGGACGGGACTCGAACCCGCATCCCATCATCATTGTGGGTTGCCTACAATGCGAAGACATGGCGCTGCCTTGCAGCTTAAGGCTAGGAAAATTTCGACGCGGCTAATAGGGCCGTGGTAGCATAATGGTCAGTGCATTCGCCCGGATAGCGAAGGATGCGGGTTCGAGTCCCGTCCGCTGCCTGGTCCGCGTGGATTTTTTTTCTAGTAAACTTTTCTTTAGATATAAATATTTATTATATTACTCATTATCATCAGTGTAATACTCTTTCCACGACAAGGGATCTGGAGCTCTATTTTTGAATCACTCGTCTGACATAGTATCGTCGAATGCGACATAAGTCTACTTCAACTTTCAAGTCGCATAATACTGATTTTACGTATTTTTGAATCATTCGTCACCAGTGTTACCTGTTTAATACGAAATATGAAATTTTACTCATTTCACGCAGAAAAAATAAAAACCGGTAATTACCGCAACGAAAACCGAACAAAAAATTATCGTTGTCGTTTCATATAAAGCATGGCAATGATAGATTATCGTCGTCTAATAGCACAAAAAAATTGATAATTATTCTATCATTCGCCTCTACCGTTCGCCATGCAGCGAGTGGTCTCACCCATTCGTTGCATTCGAGCGATTCAAAAATACGGAATTAATTATGTCGAATGAAATTTAGTAGAAATCGAGCGTACCACGCAAGACGAGTGATTCAAAAATAGGGCTCCAGGCTACTGGACAAAATGGCATAATTGTAACCTACCACGCAGGCTCTAATAAATGCTTTCCGAGGCACCTCTGTACTTCTGCAAAGGTTTAAACATTTACATTACTGAATTATATCGAGGACAAGCTACTCTATGTATTGTTAGATAGATACCAAAATCATCTACAGCAAACTCAGTCACTTCTGCAAAAGTAAGTTCATAAGCATAATTGGTCAGTGCATTCGCCCGGATTGCGAAGGGTTCGAGTCCGCGTGGATGTTTTTCTAGTTATATTTTCTTTCGATTTAAAGATCAAGCATGTAACTATGCTTTAAAAAATAAAAATTATAACTATAATTGCTATTTCTTCTTTCAAATGTTTAATACTTGTAAAAGTATTAATTTGACATTGTGGTTTACCTATAGTGCGAAGAGGTAGTGCTGCCTTGCAGCTTAAGAATAGCTAGAGGAGTTTCGACGCGGTCCGTGAGGGCCGCGGTAGCATAATTGGTCAGTTCCTTTCCCCGGATTGCGTAGGGTGCGGGTTCGAGTCCCGTCTGCTGCCTGGTCCGCGTGGATTTTTTTCTAGTTATATTTACTTTAGATTTAAAGATCAAGCATTTACATGCTTTAAAAAAATAAAAATTATAACTAAAAGTAAGTACAATAAGAAATGCCTAGTAAGCAGTAGGAAAGCCATTTAGAACTCCATCTGGTTTACTTAAACATTATAATTTGTAATAATGTTAGCACGACTCTCATTCAACCAGCTGATGCTTTGGTACATATAAAAAATGGGTGCGTGTACTTATGTAGGCGCGTGAGAAGTTATCCTTCTTTCGCATCGTTTAAAATTAGTTTTAATTGCATGCAAATAATTAATTACAATAAATTAATAAAAAGTCTGGAAAAGGACAAAGTCAATAAAGTTCAGTTTTAATTTGAAAAAATAAATAAATAATCAAAATATTCAATTAAAATCGCTACTGAATATAATTTATAAGAACATATGTGATTTGCACTTGTATGAAACTCAAACACGTATTCCGAATATACAAACTAGAAACATGTGGATAAATATTATAAATATGAATACCTATAACTGTTACTCTATTACAAAAAATAAAGATGTGGTTTTTGGTTCTACTACACCAATGCTCAAGAGATGGCGCTGTAGTCTCCTGAATCGCGCTTTGGTTCCGTTCTTCCAGATTAATAAATACTTTTGATATTGTAAATATGAATACCTATAACTGTTACTTTATTACAAGAAATAAAGATGTGGTTTTTGGTTCTACTACACCAATGGTCAAGAGATGGCGCTGTAGTCTCCTGAATCGCGCTTTGGTTCCGTTGTTCCAGATTAATAAATACTTTTGATAGGCCTTCACAATGCAGTCGTTAGCACCCACTAAATAGAGATTCTATTTCTATGTTGTTGGTAGATTTTCTTAATGTGCGGTAATGTCGCTAAAGCGACCAACTTCATGCTGTTAAAATTTTGTGTTACAGTGATGCGCGCGCATCTTAAAATTTCACTCTCATCATTTTTTCATAACGCGCCTAAAGAAGTATAACTTCAAAAAGGACATCAACAAATTAAGAAAAACACGTCCGAATCAGTAGAAAACTCAAATCTATCGCCTAAAACCGTCACAGCTTAAGTGTCACATAAAGCACTTAAAATAATTAAATAAATAAAGATGCATCTAATTTAACAGCATGAACTCGTTCCAAAACTGGTTAGAAAACTCGTCACATCTGCATCGCATGTTTTAAAATGGACCTCGAGAAATAGAGATTGGGTAATAGCCCTTTAGAAGGACCTTCTGAATGTCGTTTGAATTTATTAATTTTATTTGTAATTAGTAGTAAAGTGTTGGTTTAAACGACTTAGGCAATTATGCTCCATTCGTGGAAAAAAACGTATTATCTTTTTGCAGGCGAAATACAGATTTTAGCTGCGTGATGTTATTAAGGTAGGAAAAGTTTTGTCCAATATTCAGGTTATTTACATCCTTGGCTGTGAAAGGAACATCTAGACTTGAGCTTGGGGCTTAAGGATTTTTAGTCACTGTTGTAGGTTGTCCATTATTGAGGTTATTTAAATAATAATAATAATAATAAATATTTCCGACACTCACACCAATTAGCCTAGCCCCAAAGTAAGCACTATAAGGCTTGTGTTATGGGATGCTAGGGTAACGGATAGAATACATATACTGTACATATATAAGTATATTTATATGAATACATATTAAACATCCATGACTGGAGTACAAATGCACGTATTCATCACACAAACATCTGCCCCCACCGGGATTCGAACCCGGGACCTCTCGAGTCGGCGACAGCCATGAAACCCGGCGTACGAACCACTCGGCCACGGAGGTCGTCAAAATTTACATGCTTGGCTGTGAAAGGAACATCTAGACTTGAGCTTCAGGCCACCTTGAGGCTTAAAAATTTCTAGTCACAGTTGTAGGTTTTGTCCATTATTGAGGTTATGTCCATTATTGAGGAGCTCGATGGCGCAGGTGGTTAGTGTGTTCGGCTGCAAACGTTGAAGTTAAGCAACTTTCGCAGTGGTCGGTCATTGGATGGGTGACCAAAAATTTACTATCTCAAGCTCCTCCGTGCTTCGGAAGGCACGTTAAGCCCTTGGTCCCGGCTGCATATGCAGTCGTTAATACCCACCAATCCGCATTGGGCCCGCGTGGTGGGTCATGGCCCAATCTCCCTATTCCAGCCATAGGGAAGGCCTGTGCCCCAGCAGTGGGGACATTAATAGGCTGATGATGATGATTAGGTTATTTACATCCTTGGCTGTGAAAGGAGTATCTAGACTTAAGCTTGAGGCTTTAGAATTTCTAGTCACAGTTGTAGGTTGTACGTTCATAATTTATTTAGACAAAATTTTATTTAGTCGCTTTAGCGACCAACTTCATGTGTCGCGCTGCCATTACCGCGTCGCCCGCCGCACCGTACGCATGCGCGGCCACTCGCGGTCCTAGCGCGGGAAACACGTACAACAAACATCGGGAAAACTTACGAGTTTTGAATTTAGAACAGAGACTGTTTTCATATCTATATATATAAAAATGAAACCCGTTTTCCGTTGTCACGACATAACATGAAAACGGCTTGACCGATTTGGCTGTTTTTTTTTGTAGTTTTCTAATACTCTGTACAAGGTTCTTACGGAAAAAAATATAAAGAAAATCCCAAGTGGATAAAATAAGGACTGAAAGTTTGTATGAAACTTTATCAATTTTAAACCGATCGGGCTGAGACTTTGCATGCAGGTATAAGAAGAATCATAGATGAATGTCATTGTGTATAATACAAGCCTGAGAACAAAAACTGTAGTCTACACTTCAGCTCTACACCGAAGCGAAGCGAGGGCCGGCCGCTAGTTTATAATATTTATCCACATGTTTCTAGTTTGTATATTCGGAATACGTGTTTGAGTTTCATACAAGTGCAAATCACATATGTTCTAATAAATTATATTCAGTAGCGA